TTTGTCTCACTGACTTTAAATAATTATGTATTCTGGACAAAATATTTTCATAACGACACATAGTATTTAATTGCATGCAAATAAGAAATTCCCTATGCTTGACCTGATCAAATTTCTGTCAAATTTCTTAAATATATGTTAAACAATCAACGCCTGCTGATCACTTAAAATTCACGGAAATAAACTTTACACGAACAAGACAAAACATATATACTGTTTTTGAACACTTATGTTGCTCTCTCGATGTATGTTTGTCGTCGGATAGCTATGTTATTGATATATAAACCACTCTCCCCTTATTTATGTGTGATCCATTTTCGTTGGATAGTTGGGTGTATCTTTATTCAAGATTGACTTATTTCATAGCTGTAAAGGTATCAACATGTATGCTATCACGAAAATAAAATAAAAAGTATTTGCAACAGCAAAATGTATCGCACAATATTGACCGCATAACAGTGGTGCATGTATCAGATAAATCGAAATTGTTCAATTTTATCATACATGCAATGGAATAAATTGTTTATCATAAACCTCAACAATAACATGACAACATACGATAATGACTTTTAACGAATATAAATCACAGACAAAGATATAACTAAGGCTATCAAAATGATAAAAGGGGAGATTAGATAAATGTCAATATGAAATGCAACCATATGTCAAAGACAAATTTAAACAGAAAATATGCCCAGCTTTGAAGTTAGTTACACACGTCTAAATGACAAGCAACTAAATAAAACGTAATAATAAAGTGAATTATGTGGTTTATGAAGAAATATTTCCAGGAACAGTTTTGGAAAAAAATAATTGTGTGGCTCTATTTTTGTCAAATTAAAAAGTTGAAGAGATTCAATTGAACGGCGAGAATTCAAATTCGAAGACAAACAAAAAAAAAGATTCAGCACACGTGCAGAAAAGACATATAAAGAATGCCTTTTGAAAGATGATGCGGTAGTGGATTAAAGTTATTACTTTTTAAACAATCTTAATCTTATAAAAGAGTTTCAAAACGACTTCATTACCAAAGATTTGTGAGACAAAATTATATAATATGAATATAAGGAGATGTGGTGCGATTCCCAATGAGACAACTATCCACCAAAGTTCAAATGGAGTGGATGTATGCAATTATACAATCATTGATTATATTCATTTTATTAGAATTACTTTGATTATATCAAATAAGTTTTCAACTTTCTTCAGAAGACAAATATCATAAATACTTTGAAATTGTTTTAAGAAATTATCTCAGCTTTGTTGAAAGTCATAATAGGCCTCAATATGTATGTTAACATCTGTAATTTTGTGTAATAATAACAATAAAATATGATTTAACATAACATGAAAAACAAGCAAAAAGATTACGCAAACAACTGAACAAAACAGGCCACACAAAGAGGAATGCATAAAATATGACGGAAAACTTTTATGCGTATATAAAAGCATACATTTCTGTCGACCTTACAATTTATTTTTAGAATCCACAACCATAATATTTGTATGTACTTTTCATAACATATACAGGCGCCTTATATATTTCATGGTCAAAATTTTGAAGAAAAACAATTTTACAGTTAAGGATTCTCACTATTTATCACTTAACATACACACGTTTTACGATTTTGAGATACTTTTTAAACCAATTGCCCAGCATTGCAAACTTTTTAGTCATTTATATTAATATGTAAATTACAAATCCAGTTCAATATCCATTGAATTCAATCTACCTGAGTACCGATAATCATAACAGAAACTACTAGACAAAACGAAACGCCATTACATTTTTTTTAAATGTCAAAGGTATGGCGAATTCACCAACTATATACATAACTGGCGATTGGGAAATTTACACAAATACTACAACTGCAAATACCTAGATTATCTGAATGACAATTTTTGTAAAGTCAACGAACACCTTAGACACAACAAAATATCTTTTCCCATTTGTTGTTCCAAAAATCAAATGAATGGATTCTTCATCTATATGTTATTCAATGCAATCGAGGATTGGAACACGCATTCTAGATTATAGCTCAAAAAGGGTTGAATTAATATATAAAAAGACATTTTCCTCGTTGTTAACAGGTGATTTACATTAAAAGGATCCTATTGGAATTAAGCGGCAACACTTTTATTGGCAATCCTTGGAAATCTATCAATTTATCAAAAATGTTTTAGGATTTTGCTCGACATAGCATTGTGTGTGGACTTCATACCTGCCTATTATTTACTTAAATTTTGAAACAAACATTGTAATGTTAGATTAATTATTGAACCATGCATGCATATATACTAAACTAAAACTTGAATACACGTTTTTTTATATCCATTAAACATCTATAACTTATTATCGACAAATAATATTTTAATCAGGGGTTGTTGATATCAAGCTAATAACTTTCGAGTTTGCTGCCGAAGATAATCGGATCGTGATATTGATAAACAATAAAAACAGAGCACGTGGAAAGTGCAACAGAAAAGTGAATTTGTTAACTTAGCTATTCCTTGACAGTTGTTTAATGCTTTAATGTATTAAATTGGTTTTATTTTAAATCTGTTATTTTTATATCCTTTTAATTCTTTCATCACTGTTTTTTTCCTCGCACTTGCGCTGTGCGGTGGCCAAAGTTAAATTGAGAGGTCTCGTAGTTAAGGTCACGGCATACGTGAAAATATCGGCGAATTAGTGTCTGCAAAGTCAATAATTCAATATCGGTACATTTATGAAGATTTTAACTAGAGGCTCTCAAGAGCCTGTGTCGCTCACCTGACTCTACTTTGGTTTTAGAAATCATGTAAAGATAGATAAAAATCATAACAGATACCCAAATAATGATTGAGGCCAAATTTTGATTAATATTGGTCCCATTATTTAATAAAATATCCTGGTGGCCATCTTGAACAGTAAATCGGCAACAAAGTAGCAACACTTGGTCAGCACTTCATAAGGAACATTCATGCCATGTTTGGTTTCATTCCATTCAGTGGTACTCTAAAAGAAGACATTTGTATGTATTTCCCATAGGGTCCTATGTTAAACTAAGCCCCCCCCCCCCCTAGCGGCCATCTTGGATGATGGATCGACTGCAAAGTAACAACACTTGGTCAGCAACTCATAAGGAACATTCATGCCATGTTTGGTTCAATTCCATTCAGTGGTTCTCTAAAAGAAGACAATTGTATGTATTTCCCATAGGGTCCTATGTTAAACTAAGTCCCCCGCTGTCGGCCATCTTGGATGATGGATCGGCTGCAAAGTAACAACACTTGGTCAACATCTCATAAGGAACATTCATGCCATGTTTGGTTCCATTCCATTTATTGGTTCTCTAAAAGAAGACATTTTTATGTATTTCCCAAAGGGTCCTATGTAAAACTAAGTCCCCCGCTGGCGGCCATCTTGGATGATGGATCGGCTACAAAGTAACAACACTTGGTCAGCATCTCATAAGGAAGATTCATGCCATGTTTGGTTTCATTCCATTCAGTGGTTCACTAAAAGAAGACATTTGTATGTATTTCCCATAGGTCCTTTGTTAAACTAAGTCCCCTGCTGTCGGCCATCTTGGATGATGGACCGACTGCAAAGTAACAACACTTGGTCAGCACCTCATAAGGAACATTCATGCCATGTTTGGTTTCATTCCATTCAGTGGTTCTCTAAAAGAAGAGATTTGTATGTATTTCCCATAGGGTCCTATGTTAAACTAAGTCCCCCGCTGGCGGCCATCTTGGATGATGGATCGGCTACAAAGTAACAACACTTGGTCAGAACCTCATAAGGAACATTCATGCCATGTTTGGTTTCATTCCATTCAGTGGTTCTCTAAAAGAAGACATTTGTATGTATTTCCCATAGGGTCCTATGTTAAACTAAGTCCCCCGCTGGCGGCCATCTTGGATGATGGACCGACTGCAAAGTAACAACACTTGGTCAGCATCTCATAAGGAACATTCATGCCATGTTTAATTCCATTCCATTCAGTGGTTCTCTAAAAGAAGACATTTTTATATATTTACCATAGGGTCCTATGTTAAACTAAGTCCCCCGCTGGCGGCCATCTTGGATGATGGATCGGCTACAAAGTAACAACACTTGGTCAGCACCTCATAAGGAACATTCATGCCATGTTTGGTTTCATTCCATTCAGTGGTTCTCTAAAAGAAGACATTTGTATGTATTTCCCATAGGGTCCTATGCTAAACTAAGTTCCCCGATGGCGGCCATCTTGGATGATGGATCGGCTACAAAGTAACAACACATGGTCAGCACCTCATAAGGAACATTCATGCCATGTTTGGTTTTATTCCATTCAGTGGTTCTCTAAAAGAAGTCATTTGTATGCATTTCCCATAGGGTCCCCCACTGGCGGCCATCTTGGATGATGGATCGGCTACAAAGTAACAACACTTGGTCAGCACCTCATAAGGAACATTCATGCCATGTTTGGTTTCATTCCATTCAGTGGTTCTCTAGAAGAAGTTCAAAATGTAAAAAGTTAACGCCGACGACGGACGCCAAGTGATGAGAAAAGCTCACTTGGCCCTTCGGGCCAGGTGAGCTAAAAACTGCAAAATTTTGTTAAAACTACCAATTCGGTGGCAGCAACCCAACAATGGGTTGTTCGATTCGTCTGAAAATTTCAGAGCTGATAGATCTTGACCAATTGAACAATTTTACTCAATGTCACATTTGCTCTAAAAGCTTTAGTTTTTGAGATTTAAGCCAAAAACTGCATTTGACCCCTATGTTCTATTTTCAGCCATGGCTGCCATGTTTGTTGATGGATCAAAACTTTGGATACAATTTATAAACTAGATACCCTAAGGAACATTTATTTAAAGTTTGAAGGTATTTTGCCTAGTAGTTTCAGAGGAGAAGATTTTTGAAATAGTTTACGACGACAGACGACGACGACAGAGGATAACAGATGCCAAGTGATGGCCTAAAAACCACAATTCCAGGGTCATACCTCTTAACATGTCTAACTTACCATTTCTTTGATTAGGCATAGTTTGTATATTAACAAGGTCCCTTGGTCTCTGCTGGTTCAAGTTTGGAGGAAGGGGAGGGCCATGCATCATAAACATCCCAGGAGGTATTTGCGGAGGTGGACCACCAAGTGGTGGAGGAGGTCCAGTCCAATATGGTGGAGGCCTGCTCATGGCTGGTGCTTCTGGATTGTAAGGTTCGAAATGTTCTAGAATACAAATTGAGATAAAAAAATATACTTACTATGTCATGTCAATGGTCTTCAAAAAATGATGGCATTATCGTTAACAAAATGTGTTTGTTTTAATTTTGAAATATGACACAATCAAACAGTTTTCCTTGCATTAATGTTTTCAGTTAGTCACAGGTTTATATTAACAATTTTCTGAAGCAGAGACACAAGATGCATACATAACAAAATAAGCAATGAAATCTATACAGAAAAAAATTTAATGCAAGAAAACTGTGCTTGGGCTCTTACTTATGATAATTTCTAGGAATTGCAACATGAATTTGGAAACAATGTAGTGAAATGTACTAGTCCTACTGTACAATCTAAACATTCTATTCATTGAAGACATTTTGTGGTTTTAAAGAACGTGAAGGATGCCTTCAGCAAACTGGTAATTATTTTTTTAATATTTTCCGTGGTATCCGATGGGATTTTTCTTTTTGAGAACCTTACCCTATCTCAAAATAAAATAAGAAAAGCAACATATATGTATCAAATTTTTCCTTGCTTGACCCTGTTGTTTGTTCATGGAAAAATACATTGTATTCAAATGAATATAAATTAGTATTAGGTTAGGCGGAGGGTTTGGGGCCAGGAAACATGTTTAACCCTACTCCATTCTGTATGTGCCTGTCCCAAAGTCAGGAGCTTGTAAATCAGTGGTTGTCATTTGTTGTTGTATATCAAATCTGTTTTTAGTTTTATTGTTTTGTACATAAATCAGGCCGATAGTTTTCTCGTTTGAGATATTTTACATCTATGATTTCAGGGCCTTTTATAGCTTACTATGCTGTATGGGTTTTTCTCATTGTCGAAGGCTGAAAGGTGAGCTATAGTTGTTAACACCTATATCTTTTGGTCTTTGGTGGAGAGTTGTCTCAATGGCAATCAAATCACATCTCCTTATTTTCATTTATAGTATAAACCTTGTGCAGTTACTTTCATAAACTTTTTCTTTGGTAGCTATAGGAAAATTTTGAATTCTTTCTTTCTGCATAACACACTGTCATATATTTGTGTGCACTTATATATCTAAAAGGTTTAAAATTCTGAGAAACCTGAGGCATGCATGTACAAACCTGGCCTGGGTGGTGGAGGCCGTATTATTTGTGGTGGTGGTCCACCATGTGGTGGCATTGGTGGTGCTCCACTGGCTGGAGGAGGTGGTGGTCCTGTAAGATAGAGCATATAAAATTACATCTGAGGTGTAACAACGAAAAGCATTTTTAACTTTACAGTTCCTTTTACAAAAATTTAAAGTCATTCTGAGAATAAAGGTGTTATTGTAAACAAAAACTTATTTTGTAATGAATGAATGAAATTTTATACTGAATGAGTGAATGTAAAAAAATCATGAATTTAAAGAATGCTTCAATGAATGGAATGATTTTTCCAGACAGAATGAGTGAATGTAAAAAGAATGAATTGTTAAAATGAATAAATGAATACCACCAATTATAAGGGGACAACATATTTTTTTCACAAAACCAACATGATGGCAGCAATAACTAGAGGCTCTCAAGAGCCTGTGTCGCTCACCTGATTCTACTTTGGTTTTGGAAATCATGTAAAAATAGATTAAAATCATAACAGATACCCTAATAATGAGTGAGGCCAAATTTGGTTTAATATTGGTCCTGTAATTTAATAAAAAAAATCCTGGTGGCCATCTTGAACAGTAAATCGGCAACAAAGTAGCAACACTTAATCAGCACCTCATAAGAAACATTTATGCCATGTTTTGGTTTCATTCCATTCAGTGCACCTCTAGAAGAAGCATTTGTATGTATTTCCCATAGATTCTTATGTTAAAGGAAGTCCCCCCATTGGCGGCCATCATGGATGAAGGATCAGCTTCAAAGTATCAAAACTTAGTCAGCACCTCATAAGGAACATTCATGCCATGTTTGGTTTCAATCCATTCAGTATGTGGTTCTCTAAAAGAAGACATTTGTATGTATTGTCCATAGGGTCCTTTGTTAAACATTGTCCCCATCTGGCAGCCATCATGGATGAAGGATCAGCATCAAAGTAACAACAATTGGTCAGCACCTCAAAAGATACATGTATGCCATGTTTGGTTTCATTCCATTCAATGGTTCTCTAAAAGAAAACATTTGTACGTATTTCTCATAGGGTCCTATGTTAAACTAAGTCCTCCGCTGGCGGCCATCTTAAATTATGGATCGGATTCATAGTAACAACACTTGGTCAGCACCTCTTAAGGAACATTCATGCCATGTTTGGTTTCATTGCATTCAGTGGTTCTCTAAAAGAAGACATTTGTATGTATTTCCCATAGGGTCCTATGTTAAACTAAGTCCCCCGCTGGCTGCCATCTTGGATGATGGATCAGCTTCAAAGTAACAACATTTGGTCAGCACCTCATAAGGAACATTCTTGCCATGTTTGGTTTCATTCCATTCAGTGGTTCTTTAAAAGAAGACGTTTGTATGTATTTCCAATAGGGTCCCATGTTAAACAAAGTCCCCCGCTGGCGGCCATCTTGGATTATGGATCGGCTTCAAAGTAACAACACTCGGTCAGCACCTCATAAGGAACATTCATGCCATGTTTGGTTTCATTCCATTTAGTGGTTCTCTAAAAGAAGACATTTGTATGTATTTCTCATAGGGTCCCATGTTAAACTAAGTCCCCCGCTGGCAGCCATCTTGGATTATGGATCAACTTCAAAGTAACAACACTCGGTCAGCACCTCATAAGGAACATTCATACCATGTTTGGTTTCATTCCATTCAGTGGTTCTCTAAAAGAAAACATTTGTATGTATTTCCCATAGGGTCCTATGTTAAACTAAGTCCCCTGCTGGAGGCCATCTTGGATTATGGATCGGCTTCAAAGTAACAACACTCGGTCAGCACCTCATAAGAAACATTCATGCCATGTTTGGTTTCATTCCATTCAGTGGTTCTCTAAAAGAAGACATTTGTATGTATTTCCCATAGGGTCCTATGTTAAACTAAGTCCCCCGCTGGCGGCCATCTTGGATTATGGATCGGCTTCAAAGTAACAACACTCTGTCAGCACCTCATAAGGAACATTCATACCATGTTTGGTTTCATTCCATTCAGTGGTTCTCTAAAAGAAGACATTTGTATGTATTTCCCATAGGGTCCTATGTTAAACTAAGTCCCCTGCTGGCGGCCATCTTGGATTATGGATCGGCTTCAAAGTAACAACACTCGGTCAGCACCTCATAAGAAACATTCATGCCATGTTTGGTTTCATTCCATTCAGTGGTTCTCTAAAAGAAGACTTTTGTATGTATTTCCCATAGGGTCCTATGTTAAACTAAGTCCCCCGCTGGCGGCCATCTTGGATGATGGATCCGCTACAAAGTAACAACACTTGGTCAGCACCTCATAAGGAACATTCATGCCATGTTTGGTTTCATTCCATTCAGTGGTTCTCTAGAAGAAGTTCAAAATGTAAAAAGTTTACGCCGACGACGGACGACGAAGGACGACGCCGGACGACGCCGGACGACGACGGACGACGGACGACGGACGCCAAGTGATGAGAAAAGCTCACTTGGCCCTTCGGGCCAGGTGAGCTAATAATATAAGGGATTTTATTCGAAAACAAATTTGTCGTTCACTTCTTTAAGGGGAAAACTTAGCCATTCAAGTATATAAATTATGTTCAAATTTTTTTTTAATTTTAAAGTTTCATATGATTGTGTAGGCTTATGATAGTAAATTCAACCGAAAACAAAATAATATACTCATGTACACCACCAAATATTCAAAAATTCGATTGTTCTGACAATAAAATATGACGAGTATCATAACAGATAACTTGTGTCATTTTTCATACAAACAATGGTAAGATTTATTTGCTCTTCCAGTTATGCAATATCCTCTGACGTTACACACTAGGTTCCTCTAACGACTAGACATATAAGTAACGTAGTTTCAAAACAATTGTGTGTGATCTTATTTTGGAAAGCAAGTTATTGGGAGTTGTAATAAATGAAACATGATAAGTTATAACTGAATTTTTCAGAAGACTTTATTGTAACTTTAGCTAGTAACACTTTGTGAATCACCTCGGATGATCGTAAAACATCATTATAATTAAATCTTGAACAATTTAGAGTTATTGCCTTTTCGCTTTCTATACAGTCTTATATGTGTCCCTTTTCAATGCACGTTTTATGTTGCATTAATGTCTAACAGATTGGAAGTTTCGGTTTTTTTTTAATTATCACTTTTAAATATTTAAAAACAAACAACTAGGATTACCCCTCTATCTTGCACACTTGAAACATATTGTTTTGGGATGGATGCATAAGTTTTTCCGCTTTTGATAATGAACTTTGATTATTGTCAAATTTCTTCATTTCGTGGTTATCTTATTATTAAGGGAATTTGTTATGTCCAAAGTATGTTTAAAGGAATATACATTATTAAACTTTTAAAGTTTCAGGTAGAAATAAAATGATTCACATATAACAATATTTTTGATATCGTAGATGATGGCACCCTGTTTTCGATATACTCCAATTAGGCTTAAGCTTATGTCCATTCACTTGGGTTAAGCCATTCTTGATTAAATGTCGGTTTCTTCAATTCTAATTTTCTTAATTGATTCATGATTTGCAAAAAAGTGTTTTCAGTGAAGCAGTCTATTAACAAAAAATGACATATCTGAGTCAAACCAAGTTGCACCTTGTTGGGTAAAGTTGTAGATAAGTTGACCTTGTGCACAATAAATAGTCAAATTTAGACCTTCTCCTCTTTATTTATAAATCTAAATTTGATTTCGAATATTACCTTTAAATGATATTACTTTAAGTGCACAAATATCAAAATATTATTTTTTAAATGACATTTACAAAATATAGGTGCCGTTGCATTCTACAATGGACGCGGATTTTAAATGACATAAAAGCAGAACCAACTCTCATACTTTTACGTTTATGGTCAATGATAGATAAACCATATTTTTTCTGCTTTGAACTAATTGGCGGGACAATATTCTGTTCACATTTGTCATACTTAGTACGTACTTCTGCATTTCCAGTAGAATCTCGATAACTTCTAATCACAGAATAAGCAAAAGTTCTTACAATGAAATAAATAGTATTGTAGGACTAGGATTTTTGTAATTAATTTTCCAATATAAAAATGTAATGTTACGCAATGTCATGCAGTCATGCAACTATAAAAAAATATTACCTTAATGAAAGATGTTATGCTTGAAACAATATTTGTATGGAACGACGTATCAATTTAGGTTAAATTCATCCATAATTCTGTAATCTTAAGATAGCTTTTTAATCGAGAAAAACAAATTTAATGTATCAAATTGTTAGGGACATGTAGGGACTGCTTGTGCATTTCAGGGATAATTTGTGAATTACCGAAGAAGGCATGTATAGGATGTCTGCTTGATATTTGTCTTAATTGTTACTGTTTATGGTAGGCGGACCTTATTATTGTTTTTAGATTGGGCATTCATTAAGTATACAAGGTTATATTTTAACAAACAACAGGTACATTTCGTGTGAAAGTCACCTACCGCATTTTATAACTGTTAAATCAATCTTGATCAATGTTGATATCATGATGTTCTCATTGATAGCCGACTATGGAGTACACTTTTCAACCAATACTCAACAAATGACTCTAACACAGAGGCTAGGCAACCATCATCAATCGGTTAGTGCTGGAAATATTGTAGCCCATTTCACAAGTACATGCACTTTAACATTCCTGTCCCCTCGAATTATAGAATCAGAATTAAAACACCCAGGATAAAATGATAAGGTGGGTGTTCACAACAAGACAGTAATTCGATTATTCTCCTATGGTAAGATATCTAGAGTTTTGACTTTTTCCGTTTCAAACAATGAAATTGTTTTTATTGTCAGAAAAAAATCAACATCACGTCAAAGGTTTAAATATAATATGTCTCCGACTGTAAATGCATAAAATCCGATTACTTCGATATTTTCTCTCCTGTTAACATTTTTTTAAATACGTTGTACATGGTTAGGCTTGACACTTCTGTTATTATCAATTTGATCTATGTTTTCTTACAAGTTCTGGATTCATAGTACATGTACTGTGTACACGGTGTATATTCAGAACGCTTGCTTCTCGATTCTATCGCCGGTAACACTTGCTTTCCGATTTCGGAAACGCAT